ATGCCAAGCATGATTATCTTATGAGTTTCAAAACTCCATTGGACCTTAAAAGACTAGCTGAGGGCTGGGAAGGTGGCTCAGTGGTAGGGTGCTTGTTTTGCATGCATGAGGCCCTGGGTTTGATCCCTCAGCACCACATAAGCAGAAAAAGCTGGAAGTGGGGCTATGGCTCAAGTGATAGAGTGCTAGCCTTGAACTGAAGAGCTGAGGGACAGAGCTCAGGCCCAGAGTTCAGGCCCCACAACCGACAAAAAAAAAAAAAAAGAGACTAGCTGATAGCTGGGCGCTGGTGTTTCAAGCCTATAATCCTAACTACTCAGGATGATGAAATCAGAGGAACACAGTTCAAAGCCAGCCCAGGAAGGAAAGTTCATGAGACTCTTATCTCTAATTAACTATCCAAAAGCCAGAAATGGAGCTGTGACTCAAGTGGTAGAACACTAGCTTTGAGCCAAAAAAAAAAAAAAAAGATTTTCTTAAGGACAACACCAGGCTCTGAGTTAAAGCCCCAAGACCTCATGTACTCATATAAGCAGCAAAAACGAAGAGATGGAAAACTCAAAGCTGGTCCTTACGCATTTGAAGCAATGCACAAGCTAGAAATTATGCTAGATCTCTGCTGCGCACGCGCGCGCGCGCACACACACACACACACACACACACCACACACACACACACACTCACACACACACACACACACACACACACACAGCCTCAGGCCTAAGTAGGCTGCTTAATTCTAGCAAGGTCAGGAGTTCACATTTAGCAGAGCCTAGTTTGTCTGTTTGCAAAATCAGGCTCTTAATGGCCAATTTAGATGGGACTGTAAAGTAAAAAGATTTCTTTTTCACAGATGGCTCCTTTAGTACTGCCTGGATCATTTTAGTACATATGCATACTCTACAAGTGTCCTTGGAAGGTGCTTGTCTGGTTGGGGTTGAGGGGAAGGGAGAAGCTTAGCCTCTGCTGAGTTACTTTTGCTGCTGCATTTCCTCCCCCTCCTTTTCTCATTTACTCTCTTTTACAAAAAAATACTTTGGCCAGACCCCAGTGACTCACACCTGTAATTCTAGCTACTCAGGAGACTGAGATCTGAGGATCACAGTTCAAAGCCAGCCTGAGCAGGAAAGTCCATGAGACTCTTTTTTTGTCGGTCATGGGGTTTGAACTCCGGGCCTAGGCACTGTCCCTCAGCTCTTCAGCTCAAGGCTAATGCTCTACCACTTGAGTCACAGCGCCACTTCCGGCTTTTTTTCTGCTTATGTGGTGCTGAGGAATCGAACCCAGGGCCTCATGCATGCAAGGCAAGCACTCTACCACTGAGCCACCTTCCCAGCCCCCTAAAATAACTTTTATCCTTAGAGGGACGTTACAAAAAATACTGGAGTTCCTGCATCCCTTTCACTCAGGTTTAATTAACCATAGGACAAAGGTCACAGTGAAGAAATTACTTTAGTACCGTACTTTTAGCCAAGCCTTGTTCAGATTTCACTGACTTGACACTCATCTTCTGTTCTAGGATCCTGTCTAGGTTCTTCCACTGCATTGTTTTTTTTTTTTTTCTGCTTAAACTCTGAAACTCTGAGACAGTTCCTCAGTCTTTGTCTGGACACTTGGAAAGAGTGCTTTATAGAGTGCCATCAATTTGAATGTGTCAGTGTCCCCATGATTGGACTGAAGTTAGGAGTTTTAGCAAGAGTGCCATAGCAATATTGATATGACCTTGTCAGTACATTGGATCAAGGAATCTTCATATGTCTGCTACTGGGGCATATTCTTTTATTTTATTTTTTTTTGAGGTGAACAGTGCTAGAAACAGAATCAGGGCCTAGTCCATACTAGCCAAGAACTCTAAATTCATTTATTGATTCAATATTTTTCTTTTGGTGGTACTGGGTTTTGAACTCAGGGCAATGATCTTGCCAGGCAGGCACTCTACCAATAGTGCCATGCCTCAGACCTTAAATATAAATTCTTATCAGAAAAAAATTAAATATTAAGGATCATTTCAGTCACCCCAATCTCTCTGCAGCCTATGTTGTAGAATTTAGAGGTGACAAGAGTGATTGTGATTCACATAACTGGTCCCTCATTTAGAGATTTTGCACTAGAGGATACAAAGCTACATTATAACCAGTGTAACATGTCCACTACAAAAGGTTAAGTAAGGAAGCCAGTTCCTGCTTTGTGTGTATCTAGGATAAGAGGCCAGGGTCACATCAACAGGATCACAGTGTTTCTTCCTTGAATAGGTTAAAAAAATACAAAAATCCCCTAAAGCAGATAGTTCACACCTGTACACAGGAAGCTAAGCTCTGAGGATCATGGTTCAAAGCCAGTCTGGGCAGGCTTTCTAGGGAAAATCTTTGAGACTCTTATCTCCAATTAACCACCAGAAAAGGCAGAAGGGGGCTGTGTGGCTCAGGTGATAGAGCACTAGCTTTGAGCAAAAGCAGCTCAGGGATAGAGTACAGGCCCTGAGTTCAAGCTACAGGACCAGCACAAAAAAGACCACAAAAAACTTTTCGTCATTCCTTATCTTCATCTTCTCAGTTTCCAGGAAACTGTTGGTCCTACTTTCTTTAATTTTTTCTTTTCCTTTCTTTTCTTTTCTTTCATTTGTGAGGTGCTGTCCTTGAGCTCCTTTTGTTCAAGGCTAATACTCTTCCACTTGAGCTACAGCACCACTTTGGGCTTTTTCTCTGATTCCATTGGAGCTAAGAGTCTCACAGACTTTCCTGACTGGACTGGCTTAGAACTGTGATCCTCAGGGCTGGGAAGGTGGCTCAGTGGTAGAGCGCTTGCCTTGCATGCATGAGGCCCTGGATTTGATTCCTCAGCACCATATAAGCAAAAAGAAAAAAAAAAGCTGGAAGTGGCGCTGTGACTCAAGTGGTAGAGCGCTAGCCTTGAGCTGAAGAGCTGAGGAACAGTGCCCAGGCCCAGAGTTCAGGCCCCACGACCAGACCAAAAAAAAAAAAAAAAGAACTGTGATCCTCAGATCTCAGCCTCCTGAGTATCCTCTACCAGTACCCAGCTGGTCCTATTTTCTTATATCTCCTCTAAAGTTTCTCTTTCTTTTCTTTTCTTTCTTTCTTTCTTCCTTCCTTCCTTTCTTTCTTTCTTCATTTATTTTTATTTATTTATTTTGTCAGTTGTGGGGCCTGAACTCTGGGCCTGGGCGCTGTCCCTCAGCTCTTCAGCTCAACACCAGCACTCTGCCACTTGAGCCACGGCACCACTTTCAGCTTTTTCTGCTTATGTGGTGCTGAGAAATCGAACCCAGGGCCTTGTGCGTGCAAGGCAAGCACTCTACCTCTGAGCCACCGTCCCAGCCCCTTTTCTTTCTTTATATATACAAATCAATACAAAAATAGAATTTTGCTTTGCTTCCTTCAGGTAGCATATCAATGATCTAAAATTCTAAATTTTTTTTCAGCATCTCCCCCCTTCCTCCATCTAGGTTCTAAGATTTGAATTCAGGACCTGGATGCTGTCTCTGAGCTTTTAATTTGTTCAACACTAGCACTCTATCACTTGAGCCACAAAGCTTTTTTCCAGTTGTGGCATTTGAACTCAGGGCATGATCACTGTCCCTGGGCCCTTTTGCTCAAGGCTAGTAAGCCACAGCTCCACTTCAGGTTTTTGAGTGGTTATTTGGAAATGAGTCTCTTGGGGATTTTTCTGTCTGGGCTGGCATTGAACCATGGTCCTCAGATCTCAGGCCCTTGAGTAGCTAGGACTATTTCCAGCTTTTTGATGGCTAAGTGGAAATAGTCTCATGGATTTTTCTGGCCCAGACTGGCTTCAAGCTGTGATCCTCAGATCTCACCCTTCTGAGTAGTTAGGATTACCTGCGTGAGCCACCAGCATCTGGCTATCCAAATCTTTAAGAATCTATATTTCTTATAGAATAATGAAACTTGTTGAAAATGTTTTAATAAGCAAAGAGTAGGGTAAAGAAGAGAGATAGATGGGGTGAATTTGCTTGGGATACATTATATGCATGTATGGAAATGTCACTATGAAACTCACCATGGACTACTGATATATGCAAATAAAAATAATATATGTTCCTTTTCCTTTCTTGTCTGAGACTTTTTAAAATTAATATTGTGGTATAGTCTCTTGGTAAATCTCTCTGGAATCTAGTTGTCCTCCCTCCTCAGAGATAATCACCAGGAATTTAAAATGTTAGCATTCCTAGCATGTTTCTTTACTTAACTATGTATTTATAAATTTGTAAATCATTTGTAGGTCTTCACGCTGAATATAAACAATTTCACATTGCAATCAGTTGTATGTAACTTTTCAGTCAATACTATATTTTGGGGATATAACTATGTTGGTAGAAGTGTTTCTAGTAATTTTTGTTTTTAATGCTATTACTGGGGCTTGAACTCAGGGCCTCGTGCTCTTGTTTGGCTTTTTCTTTCAAGGCTGGTACTCTACAATGCCTCTATTTCCAGCTTTTTACTGGTTACTTAGATAAGAGTCTCACAGTTTGTCTGCCTGCGCTGACCGCGATTCTCAGATCTCAGCCTTCTTACGTAGTTGAGATTATAAGCATGAGCTACCAGTGTCTGACTTGGTAATTATTTTTTAACTTCTGCATGATTTAGACATTGTCTGTTGTCTCTACGTGCACTTTTTGCTGCAATAAACAGTGTTGCATATGTATATTTCAAAACAGAACTTATTTTTTCCATCTATCTGTACCTTTTTTTTATTGTGAAAATACCGTACAGAGGGGCTACAATTACTGTCTATACCTTTTGAGACCTATGGTCCAAGAAAGGACATGGGATTTGTGAATGTTGCATTGTTTGTTTGTGTGATTGATTTTATGCTTCATACTGACTGGGTGTCCTTGTGAGGAGCTAGATGGCTGAGTGCCTGGATCTCTGGAAGAAGTTACCACACCTTGTTAAGTCCATCTGTGATATCTCCTGGCCCATGTGGAAGATAGCAGATCAACTCTTAGTCTTCTTTGTTTCCAGATGTTGAAATGCTTCAGGCCAGTGCATCCAACCCAGTCCCTCGAGAGAGTTTCTCTCGGCCCACTAAGGACTCTATGATCCGCAAATTCCTAGAAGGTAAGTTGCAGAAGCAAAATAAAATATAGGGGAGGGTTTACAAACAAGTTAAAGACATTGCCTGATGACCCTTGAGGACCAGGCTGACACACACATGGCATACGGTGTGACTAAAGCAATTGTTCCTCCTCCGTACCTGCCCTCCTACCAGCAGTCAAAGAAGGCCCAAAGTGCCCACTACTGGAGCCACTTCTTTGGCTATGCCAGTTGTCTCCAGCAAGACCTCTTTCAAAAAGCATATTTCAGGCTGGGAAGGTGGCTCAGTGGTAGAGCGCTTGCCTTGCATGCCTGAGGCCCTGGGTTTGATTCCTCAGCACCACATAAGCAAAAAGAAAAAAGCCCGAAGTGGCTCAAGTGGTAGAGCGCTAGTCTTGAGCTGAAGAGTTGAGGGACAGCGCCCAGGCCCAGAATTCAGGCCTACGACTGGGCCCCCCCCAAAAAAGCATATTTCTATTTTTGAAACATTTTTATTGTTATTATAAAGTTGATGTTCAGAGGAGTTACAGTTTTGTAAGTCAGGTACAGCATGCATTTCTTTTTGAACACTGTCACCCCTTCCTTCGCTCTCTCCTAGTTTTTCCCTCCTATCCCCACAATAGGTTATATTTTCAAAATAGTATTAATGAACACCCCTGCTGCATTTGTTTACCCTTTGTCCCTTCAACATTTCTAGTTTTATTCAGCCAAAACTTACCAAGTACATGCTATGTGCCAAGTGCTGTTCTGGATATTGGAGTTGGGGGCAGACAGAAAAAGAAGATGGGATCAGTATCCGGAAGGAGGGGAGTAGACACATGTTTTAGGAGGTGGAAGATGTGTTGCCTCACGGATTGGGCATCGACTCTGATTGGTATATATTCCTCGCTTTGCTCAGTTGGAAGGCCTTAGGCAAATTATTCAACTCCTCTAGGTCTCAGCTATAAATTGAGATGAATGTGAAAATTAAATGAGTCATTGTGCATGATTATGAATATAAACATTAACGAAGTTTGTGATTGTTGTCACCGTTGTTATTATTATTACTACTGTGGTTTCAGGGGTAGGACTGATTCTTTAATCCTGACCAATCATTTAACATCGGCAATGGTTTTGTCAGTCAAGAAGCTGTAAAAAGAGTGCAGAGCTGCTGCTGCTGCTTGCTATTATAAAAGCAATGCCAGGCATGGTGGCTCATACCTGTAATCCCAGCTACTCAGTAAGCTGAGACTGGGAGGATCAAAATTCAAGGGCAGCTTGGGCAAAAAGTTCATAAGACCCCATCCCAAAAGGAAAAGTTGCATGCAGTAGTTCATACCTGTCAGCCCAGCTATGGCAGGAACCATAAAATATAAGAATCACAGTTCATATTGGCCTGGCCTCAAAAATAACCAGACCTGAAGAGCCAGGGTGGGTGCCTAGCAAATACAAGGTCTTACATTTAAATCCTATACTTCTACCAAAGACGAGCAAACAAAAAAAATCACATCATTTTTTGTGTCTACTTAGTCATTTTGCTATGAAATATCATCTAATATATTAAGTCAGTCTCCTATTAAGACTATTTAGACTTTGGCACCGCGAATATCTTTGTTATGAATATCTTTGCTCATGTTTGAATCCATGTGTGCTGTAAATTACTAGAAATAGAATTGCTGGGTCTTAGAAAATTTGTAGTTGTGATTGTGACAGTCTCAGATCACTCTCCTCCAACGTTCTTGCAAGCTCGCATTCTCACCTGGGACATATGAAAGGTTCTAGCACATGATTTTTCATATAAAATCTTAAATGGAGGCTTAGTGTACAACACAGATAAAACTGGAACTGTTCCCAGTCATTTCATTTGTTCTACCCAATATGATTCTGAGAGCTCTGAAGCATTAGTTTGAAACCCACACATCTGGTGCCCATGAATGGCTGGGAGGGATGCATGGAGATAAGGCTGGATTGATGCCTGGGGCTGGGCTGGGAGGGCTTGGCTCCCTACTCCATTCCTGTGGCCTCTAGTCAGTCAGCTCCAGAGAGTTACATGGAGTTCTAGGCAGGGATTAACTTTCTGTTTCCAATAAAATTCAGGGGTATCACAGAGCAGTACTTGGAACATACCAACCAGTGTCTGTTGTTTCATTTACTAGGTGATTATTTTAAATGGCACAATCTGGTCTTGACAAGGAAGATTGAGCAACAGGCTCAATGTGCCAGGAACTCAGCAGCACAGAACTGAATTCATTTGAGGTGACCTTAAACATTGGGTAGCACATTTCCTGTAATTTTTTTCTTTTTGCTTCTCTAGTATTTGTTGATTCAAGGGAGCTTTGGCAGCTGGAATGAAGAGAGATTTTTTTTTCCTATATATTTCTCTTGTTTGGCCAGCAGGGATCAGGCAAGTGGTTGGATGATTTTCAGTAGCTGCTGACGGTGTGGGGTGAGGTATGGGACCCCACATGCACAGTCTTCCAGTAAAAGGGGTGTCCCTTACCCAGGGCTTCCAACAAATGCCTCCCCTATAGATAGATGTTGCTAAAGAGTAGATGCTGCTTATGCCAAAGCATACACACTTGTTACTCTCAGTTTCTGAAGCCATAAAGCTTTCTCTTCCATGGAAGAGGATTCCACATAGCTGATATCTAGCAGCCTGAGGTTGGCCCAAGAGTTCCCAAGACCTGCCCAACCTAGATATGAAGTAGGTAGACACCTTCTGTAAGTACATCGAGATATGGGAATGAAGAAAGGTTGGGCCTTTTTCTCATGGAATTTTCAATCCAGTGATTTATTGTTAGTTTTTGCTGTTATTAAATCTTTTCTAAGCTGCACGAAGACTGTTCTTGTGTTTCTGATGTTATGGGTCCAGAGTGTTAACCAGGTTGGTCCCAGTTCATTAGAAAACTCTAGTACCTGAAGCCTTGCCTTCAAGGTAAGTTTCTAACTATCTGCTCATCTTCAAAAGGATATATATATATATATCCATACATACATATTCAAACCAAGTCTCTGCTTGGTTCAGAATTTCGTCTTTTTTTTTTTTTGTCGGTTGTGGGGCTTGAACTCTGGGCCTGGGTGCTGTCCTTAAGCTCTTCAGATCAAGGCAAGCACTCTACCACTTGAGCCAGTGCCACGTCTGGTTTTCTGAGTGGTTTATTGGAGATAAGAGTCTCATGGATTTTTCCTGCCCCGGCTGGCTTCGAACCTCGATCCTCAGATCTCAGCCTCCTGAGTAGCTAGGATTATAGGCATGAGCCACCAGCTCACCGGCCTGGCTTCATCTTCTCCTCCTCCTCCTCCTCCTCTTCTTCTTCTTTTAAAAGAATGTTACTTAATGGGCACATGCTGTATGAAAGGCTCTGCATTTGGTTTTAAGATAATGTGGGGTAAGGCCTGTCTTTCTGTAGCTAACAGTCTAGGGAAAGAGGCAGGAAGTGGCCCTTACACTAATAAACATCTTAATGACTGTGGTGGCAGGATCATGGAGCAAAGAATGAGACACAGTTTGTATAATAACAGAATGGACCCAATTTCGACTGTGTGGTCAGTGAGATGACCTTTCTGAGGTGACAGAATGTGTGACACTTGGAGGGGGTGCATTGCAGAGGGAAGAAGGTTCTAAGATGAGGAACAATATTCCAAAGCAAGAGTTTAGCCAGAGATACTGGAACAAATCCAATGTGTTTGGAGACAGAGTCAAGAAGAGTTACTATGAAAGTCACCCTTTCCCTGCAGGTGGCAATAGCTCTCCCAGAGCATTCCACTTTGTTACCATAGGACAACTCTCCCCAGAATTCCTTCCTTTCTTCCTTCCTTCTTTCCTTCCTTCCTTCCTTCCTTCCTCCCTCCCTTCCTCCCTCCCTCCCTCCCTTCCTCCCTCCTTCCTTCCCTTCCTTCCTTCCTTCCTTCCTTCCTTCCTTCCTTCTTTCCTTCCTTTTTTCTTTCCTTCTTTATCACATTGTGGATGATGATGAGGCCTTTCTGCAAATTCTTCCTTCTTTTTACCAGTACTGGGGCTTGAACTCAGGGCCTTGTGCTCTTACTTGGCTTTCTTGCTCATACCTGGTAGTCTGTGACTTCAGCTATGCCTCCAACATAGTTTTTTGTGGATTGATTGGAGATAGAGTCTTACTGGAACTGTGATCTTTCAGGTGTCATCTCTTGAGTAGCTAGGATTATAGGCATGAGCCAGTGGTGCCAGGTAGAACTAGAGTTTTCTAATGAACTGGGACCAGCTTGGTCAACCCTTTTTACCCACAGCATCAGGAATAGTTTTCCTGCAGCAAAAGAGAAGACACAACAATTTTTTAAATTCTTGATTGCAATCACTGGATTGCAAATTCTATAGGAAGAAGGCCTAACATCTCTTTGTTCCTGTACCTCAAATCGGTATTTAAAAGGATTTGTTGACTGAATGGTGCCAAGGACAAGAAACAGAACACTGCAAAGAGATCTTAGAGTTATGGGCAGAACTTGGGAGGAAATTTTGTCCTTAGTTCTTTTAGTCAGCGGAGAGCAGAGGGGAAGCAGAGATTTCAAAAGCTGCAGGATCATAGGAGTTAAGAGAGAAGCTGCAGAGCCAGTTTTCCTGGGTGCCAAGCTAGCTCTCAGGGAGTTTAGACAAGTTATTTAAATCCTCATGGCTCCAGTTTCTTCCTCTGCGAAAAAAGATGAATGATTGTAACTAGTAAATCAGTCATGTGGGTAATACTCATAAAGGGAGTCCTCAGGAATGATTTCTTGTGGCCATTTTGTGGAGAATGAAGACGATGCAGGAGCCATTGTTGCTGAGGACTCCAGGACATCTTCAACACTGCGGACCAGATCCCAGGGGTTGGTTCCAAGTGTCCTCAGGCTGTGTCTTCTTTCTCTTAGTCCTAACAGGATGAGTATTAGTGTTTTAGGGATCATGTCCTGAGCTGCACGGCAGCTGCATGGCAAAGTAGCAAATGATGTAGGTGAGTTGTCAATGTTCTCTGCTTGCACCAAGTTTTGAGTAGATGATTTAAGAAATGATGTGGGTGAAGCCTTTTGTCAGAGGCCAGTACTGTGCCAGTATGGAATAGTCACTCACTCTGCTATCACGACTGACAGTCATCCAGTTTGCTTGGCCACTTCTCTCAATCACTTTTCTCTGTATTTCTAGGCAGAAGTGTGGAGACAGCCAGTTTGGAAAGAGAGCAGCACCATCTTGATAGGGAAGAAGACGTATATCACATTGTGAACGATGATGAGGCCTTTTCTGTGGATCTGGCCAGCAGGCCCCCTGTCCCTGTGCCCCGGCCAGAGGCCAGTGCTATTGGTTCTCAGCCACTACCTGACGATGAGCCCTATATTTCTAAAGGTAAGTGTGGCAGAAAAATGAATGATGCTCAGCAGGGTTTTCAGAGCACCTTAGCAGGAATTTCTTGGGTCCTCTGGATTTCTGATCTGTTGCTCAGAGACTGCCCTCTCCTGGGTGGCCTCCAGCCAGCCTCAGGAGATAGTGTCATAGAAAAAAATCTTGTTCCTAGACCAGGGGCAGTGATCACATTCAATGCTGGCCTTGCTGGAGCTGTTCGTATCTCTGCATAGGCAGAGGTAAACAAGAACCCTGATAAAATTGTATCTTCTTATTCTTCTCATTACTATTAATAATTAAAAATCTAATATGTATTAAAATCCAAAGAGTTCTCTACCAGAATATTTTTTTCTGTGGGTGGGTGTACCAATTCTAGGGCTTGAACTCAGGGCCTGGACACTGTCCCTGAGCTTTTGTGCTCAAGACTAGTACTCTACCACTTGGATTCACTTATAGTTAGTGGAGATCAGAGGGGAAATAGAGATTTCAAAAGCCATAGGATCACAGGCTCCATTTCTGGCTCTATTTGTTTGGTAGTTAATTGGTGATAATAGTCCATGGACTTTCCTGCCTGGCTGGCTTCAAACTGTGATCCTCAGACCTCAGCCTCTTGACTAGCTATGATTATAATCATGAGCCACTGATGCCTGGCTAACATTTCTTGGCGTGTATGTGTATGTGTGTGTGTGTGTGTGTGTGTGTGTGTGTGTGTGTGCGTGTGCATGCGCACCAATGCTAAGACTTGAACTCAGGCTCAAGCACTGTCTCTTAGCTTTTTCACTCAAGAATGGTTCTCTAGGGGCTGGGAAGGTGGTTCAGTGGTAGAGTGCTTGCCTTGCATGCATGAGGCCCACATAAGCAAAAAGAAAAAAGCCGGAAGTGGTGCTGTGGCTCAAGTGGTAGAGCGCTAGCCTTGAGCTGAAGAGCTAAGGAACAGTGCCCAGGCCCAGAGTTCAGGCCCCACGACTGGATTCCCCCCCGCCCAAAAATGGTGCTCTACCACTTGAGCTACAGCTCCACTTCCAGCTGGTTTTTGGTGGTTAATGGCACATAAGAGTCTCATGAAACCAAGTGCTGGTTTCCTGAGATCTCAACCTCCTGAGTTGGGATTACAGGCATGAGCCACCATTACCCAGCTGGTATCTATTTTGTTGGTGCAATTTTAAAATTTGGATATGAATAACGATAATAAAACCAATATTTGGAGGCTTTCATGAGCCTTTCCAGGTTTTGACTCATTTAATTCTCATGACAATTCAGTAAGATACTATTATAATCCCTCTCTACAGAGGCAAAGAGAAGTCAAGATGAAATGGATTTGAATCCAGTGAGCTTCACTCAGAGCCCAGGGAGCCAATGATAGGAGATACCCTACCATTAAGACAATATTTGTCGTCTCCCAGTTTATTATCCTTTTTATGACTCTGTCCCTCATGGATGACTTCATTTGTCTTAGTCCCTGTGGAGCCATGCACAAATTTTATGTGTTCTGCTAAGAGTTCTGTCTTGCTGGTAGGCCTGTTACTCGGGTGGTACTTCCTTTTATTTTCAAGCTTCAAGGTCGTCCTTGGCTGCCTCAGCTGTTCCTAGAGCTGAACACATATCCTTGCTCCCTGTACCCTTTTCCTTAGTAATTCTGTTCTCTGGCTGACATTGTCTTTCTAAGTTTCAGAGCTTGTCTGTTTGGCCTGTCTTTATTTGGAAACCTCTGCCCGCTCTCACTGTTGTTTCTTAGACTTTTCATTTACAGAACTGCATAAAATGGACATAGGCATGCATTCACTACTTTTTACACAGCATTTATACATAAGATATGTATAAAATAGTATATATATTTTGATTTTGATAAAATATATAAGGTATTAGAGAGCTCTTAAGAAAGAAATCCTTGGCTTTTACTGAAAATATTCTTTTTCTCAGTTTTTGCAGAAAGAAGTCAAGAACGGCTTGGGAATTTCTATGTTTCCTCAGAGAGCATCAGAAAAGGTAAGCCAGGTTTTGTTTGAAGCTTCCTTTTTCATGAAGTATACTTCTAGGGGGTAGAGATGTTTGTATCACAGGGATTTCAAAATATAATAACAGCTCCTTGGCATACACCATAGAGAGGCCCAAGAGTTACTGAGCATGGAGTTGTCTGAGAATCACTTAGGGATGGTAAAAGGGATAGGAGGGGTTTGAGGCACCCTAGTAAATGATACAGCAATCATTACCAAGGCACTACTATATTAGAATGTGTCCACACAGCACATAAAAAGACACAAGATCCCAGGGAGCAGCCTAGCCTCCAGTCTTTACCTATGATTAACTCTTCGTGGTTATCAACTTACCCTGTCCATATTCGCTCCGCTATGCTTTGACTCAACTTTGATTTAAAAGACCTTTTTCTTATCATTGGATAACAAGTTGGGCATTCCATTTTTCTAAAGAAACTTGAAGGATGTTCAAGAAGATAAATGCTCTCTTTATTTTCTTGATTAATTTCCTTGTGCTAAATAGAGACATTCCGTATTAGCCCACTGAAGATTTTTTTTTGAAAAGCAGCCATCACACCATCAAAGCATTTGAAGGTGTCCTGAAGGATGACAGTAGCAGGAAGCTGGAAATAGTCAACTCATGCATTTCCTTTCTCATTCACCTCTTTTCCAATACTATTAAAGATAGCTTTGAAAAGGCAGACCTTGGAATGTTATAGACAGATGACTGAAAGTTTGGGCAGGATAATGGATAAACTTAAGTCTTTTTCAGTGCTCACTAGAGAAGCCATTTCTGTTTTTCCTTCTTATCAAGTCCCTGAATCACATAGGATCTGTAGAGAAATTTAGAATCAAGTTGATTTGAGCAGTAAAATGTCAAGTTGTCCTCATGTACTCCAATGCCTCCATCACCTCTTGCCATTTCATTTTCCAAGAACTGAGCTCAGAACCTGCACAGGGCTGGTTGATTTCCTTCTTCTCTAAAATCTCCAAAGCAGAGAACTGTATGTGGAATATGGGGGAGAGGCTGGCACAGAATAACCCAAGGATGGCCAGCTGGAACCGAGAACCTGATTTGTGCCTGTGTTATTGCACCTGAGTCATAACTCATTGGTATTTCAATCTTCTCTGGCATTTCATGCCCACAGATCTACAATCATTGCACAGACAGGGCTGGCAGTGGACTAGGAGAAGCACCTTGGATATATTTTTCAGCATATTTTCTTCTAGGAGTAGATTGAAGTCTAAAGCAGTGGGGTGTGTGTGTGTGTGTGTGTGTGTGTGTGTGTGTGTGTGTGTGTGTGTGTGTTGGTGTTGGTACTGAGAGTTGAACTCAGGGATTCTCTCTATTAGTTGGCTTTGTTTCTCAAGGTTGGCATTCTACCACTTGAGGCACAGTTCCACTTCTGACATTTCAGTGACTGGAGTTAAGAATCTCATTTCTGCCCAAACTGGCTTTGAACCTTTATCCTCAGATCTCAGACTCTGGATAGCTAGGATTACAGGTGTGAGCCATTGATACCAGGCTTAAAGCAGTGTTTTGCTTTGTTGTTGTTGTTGTTGTTTTGTCAGTCATGGGGCTTGAACTCTGGTCCTGGACACTGTCCCTTAGCTCTTCAGCTCAAGGCTAGTGCACTACCATTTGAGCCACAGCATCACTTCCAGTTTTCTGAGTAATTTATTGGAGACAAGAGTCTCATGGACTTTCCTGCCCAGGCTGGCTTTGAACCGTGATCCTCAGATCTCAGCTTCCTGAGTAGCTAGGATTACAGGCGTGAGCCACCAGTGCCCAGAAAAACAGTGGTTCTTAAATGGGGATGATTTTGCCCCTCCATCCTCTGAAGACATTTGGCAACATCTGGGGACACTTTTGGTTGTCACAAAGTGGGATAGGTCAGGGATGGTCCTGAACATTCTACAGTTCACAAGACAAATCCACAGCGAAGAATCATCCAGCCCCAAATGTCCATAGTATTAAGGTTGAGAATTATTAGTCTAAGGGTATCTCAGTAATAAAAGCTTAAAGATTTCAGCTGATGTCATACCTCCTTTAAATGCTGCAGCCTTCTCTACTCTCACTGATAGGCTTTGAAATCCTTGGCTGCTTCCCTCTCCCTTGATTCCATGTCCCATTTCCTCTCCTCACTTTCACGTGTAATTATTCCTTCAGGCAGTGTCCCCTGGAGCCTGTGACCAACCTCATTATCACCACTTGTCCGTTCTACTCTCCCCAGTGGGGAGCTGTCAAGCTGAGTTCTGCTTTTCTTTCCAGAGCCACCTGTGAGACCATCAAGGGACAGGCCCCAGTCCAGCATCTATGACCCGTTTGCAGGGATGAAAACGCCGGGCCAGCGGCAGCTCATTACCCTGCAGGAGCAGGTGAAGCTGGGTATCGTCAACGTGGACGAGGCTGTATTGCACTTCAAAGAGTGGCAGCTCAACCAGAAGAGGCGATCCGAGTCCTTTCGCTTCCAGCAGGTAGCCAGCTGTCTTGCTGTGGAATTTGCTGGAGGTCACTTCTCCACTGAGCAGAGGAGGAAGCAGGCCAGGCTGTCTTGTGTGTTGCCATGGCTAAGCCATAGCTGTGTCTGTGAACATTTCTAGATGTCCTTGTGAATCCATGAGTGTGCATTATATCCTCTTGCCTGCAACTCCACATACCCAGGTTCTGCTGTGCATTTCACTCTGCATTTGGCCCTCTACTTCAGCTTGCAATTTTTTTGGTCTTTCTTTCTTTTGTTCATTCATTCATCCATCTCTTCCCCCTCTCTTCCTTCCTCCCTCCCTCCCTCGTTCCCTCCCTCCCTCCCTCCCTCTCTCTCTCTCTCTCTCTTTTTTATTCCTTCTTTCTTTTTCTTCTATTTTAGATCAGGCCTTCCTTTTTTTATACTTTTATTTATTTATTTTTTATTGTAAAGATACTATACAGAGGGTTACAGTTACATTTCATTCCTTCTTTTCTTCTTGTTGTGCTGGTACCGGGGCTTTGCAATCAGGGACTATTGCTCTCAATTGACCTTTTCTACTTAATGCGAGCACTTTACCACTTGAGCTAATCCTTCAGTTCTAACTTTTTGCTGGTTAACTAGATCTAAGAGTCTCACTGATTTGTCTGCCTAGACTGACTTTGAACTACAATCCTCAGATCTCAACTTCCCAAGTAGCTAGGATTACAGGCATGAGCTACCAGAACCTAGACAGCTTTTCCCTTGGGAGTTTCTCTGTCTACTTCTAGTAGTTCCAGGTGTCTCACAGACCATCAATCGCTCTTTAGAACTCAAACAGAAACTGGAAAGCTCCCAAGAAATATGATTAAAGAAGAAGACAAGTTGCAGATATAGCAAATCTTGCTCATTCCTGCTCTGTAGTACTTTTTCTCTTGTATCTCCACCCCCCCCACCCCTACCCACCCCCGCCCAGGGCCACATCCACTGTTGCCTGCATCTGGCCTGCTTCCTCTCCTCCAGATAAGGGCTCTTTGCCTCTACCTCCACCTCTTCCTTATTCAGTTCACCACAACCTTAATACCTTACCTACCCCACAACTTTCTCTATTTTCCTGCTGCTTCCTAGATGAGTCTTAGTTTCCTCAGCCTGAAAATGCAAGCCAAACCCCTCCTCCAGGCCTGCCTCCTGGGACTCTCTCATAGGATCCCTCCTCAGCTACCTAGACATGTTCTAGGTATGAATGCTGAGGTACCTAAAATCCCTAGAATGCTGTGATATGGGTGTTGTAGATGGGCTGAAATAGAAACAGATCTTGACCTTCACATTTCTATTCAACATTTATTGACTACAGTGATCCAATTGGCAGTATTACAGAAAGGCCAATAAGCTGGTCTCTTGTCTTTGGAAGCCCACAGGGCCACTAAAGAGGCAAGGTACATATGTGCACACACACACAAGCATGCAAGGAAGTGTAGTCTATGTGTCAGATAGTTAGTGTGGGCAGCATTAAGGACTGGAGAAAGTGGCCCTGACAGGCTGGGACAGAATCAAGGTCAGGGAGTGAGGAGAGGGCAGTCTCCGAGGAAGGAATATATGCAGACTGTGAGAGTGTGGGAGATGGGTTTGTCTCCGTGGTGAATGTGGAGACTGGGAACGTGAGGGCAGGCAACACTCCCTACTTGTGGAAGAGAAGTCTTCCCCTCAGGAAGAATTCCAAGAGGCCTTGAGTTTCTCTGGGGGCCAGCTGCATTGTGGCATTTAAATCTTGAAGAAAAAAAATCTTTTTTTGCAGTGTGATAGATCTTGCATACATTTCTCTCTTGAGAGATTTTGAATGTTCAAAGGCAAGTTCATACTGTATACTAAAAAAGAATAATATTTTTTCCAGGAAAATCTTAAACGACTAAGGGAAAGCATTACTCGAAGACAGAGAGAGAAGCAAAAATCAGGAAAGCAGACAGGTATGTGGCTTCTCCCAGTGGCTGCTGTCCTTGACTCGCCTTTCAGTGGTGGTCCAAAGGGGCAGACTACTTGCACAGCACCTGCTCATAGAGCTGACTCCCCTCTCTCCCCCTCAGACTGTGAAGGCCTTTCAGACCCAGTTTTCTCTTGTTGATTCTATAAACACTTTAGTACATGGCACACAGGAAGTGTGTTCATTTGTCTTCATTGTACATTCCCACTGAGATTCTCTAGCATGGTAACCTCAGTACCCAACCCTGGCCAGCCTTCTAGCAAGAGGAGCTGGCAAGAAAATGCTTTAAGTGGCCCCTCAGTAGGACCCCATGACATAATGACTAAGTTAAAATCTAGCCCTATTGGTACACAAGTTCCATAGTCTGCATCCAGCTGCTTTCGACAGCTGATTTTCATGAACGGGCTCAGGCTGGTAATACGCTGGTCTCCACACAAACCACCCCCTACCACAGGCCTTTTTTTTCATACCTGAATTCATACAAGTAGGCTGCTCAGCAGCCCCTCCTCCATGAAGCCTTCCTGGACCACTGCACACCGGTACATTCTGTCTTCCTTCAGACATCTATAGAACCTACTATGGTTTCTGTGCACCTGGCACTTCTGTTCCACTGTTCTAGTTATTGTCAACCTGTTCCTTCATCCCAGGGCCTCTGTCTCCAAAGCACATCCTGAATCTGGTCATTTGTGACCATTTCCTGTACCACAAATGCATCCCAACCACCACCCCTTGCAGGGACTAATGTAGGTGCCTCTTCAATTGCTACTCACCCTCATGTTTGCTCTTGCTCCTCCACAGTTTTTCTTCCAAATGGCAGTCAATGCCCTTCTTGGAATTAAAAAATTAAACAATGTCACTTCCTGCTCTAAACTTCCCAGGGATTTCTGCCCTACTTAGAAGAAAAGCAAACATCTCCATGACCTCCAAGGCTTTACAAGATCCTTCCCTTGCCCCTGCCCCCATGACCCTTTTATATTGATCTAATAAGCAGGAACATTTTTCTCTCCCTCAGGGCCTTTGTACTTGTTCTCCTGTCTTTCCCCACATCTCCACCCATTGGTCCTTCTTCATCCTCAGAGGGGCCTTCCCTACCATTCTCTCAGAGGAGCCCTCCACAGCTTACTTCCTGTTTTCCCTCTACTCAAGTAGCACAGACCAGTGCTTACACTTCTGTCCTCATGGTGAGGGACCAGAGCCAGGCCTCCCTTCTACAATAAGTTCTAAGAGAGCAAGAATATGTCTGTGTTATTCTCTGTGTTATACAGTACGAGGAACTCACTGAGACTTCATTGAAATCATTGGCTTCAAAGTAAAATATCTGGAGATAGAAGTTATTCATTTTAAAAATACTCACCAGGTGTCAGGTACCTGGCAAGATACAGAGGCCTATGAGTCACTGTCTTTGCCATATTAGCTTCTGAATCATCTTGCGGTTCATGTAGGTCTGGTTCTTCCTGTTAAGGACTGTCCCATGATGCCTAGTGCAGTGTTTCATAGAAAGTAATATTCTAGTGAATGTTAATGATGTTGACTGTCGTAGGGAAGTGGGGCCAAAGCTGGAGAGCTCATCCTAAGACTGCTGAGTGTCTAGATTTTAAATTTATGCCACCATGCCCCAAGCTCACACATGTCTGCTTCCTAGTAGAGAGGAAGAGAAAGGCAGAAAGTCTGCCTCCAGGTCTGCAGTCTTGCTGGGGACAGATAATAGGGTTCTAAGTAAAGGGCTGAAATGCTTTAAAAAACAAAACAAAACTTGAGCCCATGATCCCAAAGATAGAAGCCTTGATTAAATGAAACACCTCAGCAACATGAAGCCTGTGATTTGCCGGTGTCTTTGATGTCTGAAGACCCAGGAGTTGCAGTGTTAGTTCAGTGGCCTGAGCCTTCTGCTGGATACTGGTGGCTCATGCCTGTAATCTTAACTACTCATGAGGCTGAGATCTGAAGATCGAGGTTCAAAAGCCAGCCTTGCAGGAAAGTCCATGAGACTCTTGTCTCTAATTAATCACTAAAAAGCCAGAAGTGGAGCTGTGGCTCAGGTGGTAGAGCTCTAGCTTTGAATAAAAATGCTCAGGGACAGTGCCCGGGTCCTAAGTTCAAACCGCAGGACTAGCACAAAGAAAAAAAAAGAAAGAAACAAAAAAGGAATTCATAAATAATATAAGTGTTATCTAATGATAATGGCAAGCACAATAAGTATGATCATTATAGTTTAAAAAGCAAAACAAAACAAAATTCTGCTCCAGGCTAACAAGTAATAAGTAGTTTATGTGCCCTAGTATATTCTAAACTCCGATGGTCAGTGTCTGACGTTCTTCAGAGGAGCATGGGTTAGTCCTCCACCTCCCACTCTCAATAACCCTCTGACAAAGAATTTTAGGTGCATTATTTTTGCTTTTTTTATATTAGAGGTTTTAATCAGTACCACAGTTTTTAAAGATTAAACTATATAGGGCTAAGAATGTGGCTTAGGGGTAGAGTGCTTGTCTAGCATGCATGAAGCCCTGGGTTCAGTTCCTCAGTACCACATAAACAGAAAAGGCCAGAAGTGATGCTGTGGCTCAAATGGTAAAGTGCTAGCCTTAAACAAAATAAGCCCAGAGACAACGCCCAGGTCTCGAGTTCAAGCCCCAGGACCAGCATCATCATAATCATCATCATCATCATCATCAACAACTATATATAATTGGACCTTGGATTAGTCAGTTTTCCATCACTATAACAAAGACCTGAGATAATCAATATATAAAGAAGGAAAAAAGTTTTATTTTAGCTCCCAGTTTTGGAGGTTTTGGTTTACAGTTGGTTGACCATGATGCTTTTGGGCCTGTTATGAAACCGCACATTATAGCAGGACTGCTTGAGGAAAGTGAGAGAGGAAAGACCACTTGGGCCTTTGGAGAGCATTCCAGATCCAAGGAATGACTAGGGATGGCAAGAAGTCCAAATGGAGAGACTGTCCTACCTCCCATCCCTAAGAACATCTTTGTTTGACTTTTTTTTGATAAAATAAAATATACACAATATAAAATTCACCATTTGAGCTGGGTGCTGGTGGCTCAGGCATGTAATCTTAACTACTTAGGAGGATGAGGTCTGAGGATTGCAGTTTGATGCCAGCCTAGGCACAAAAGTCCGTGAGAATCTTATCTCCAATAAACGACTCAGAAAAAGCTGAAAGTAGCCCTGTGGTTCAAGTGGTAGAGCACTAGCCTTGAGCACAAAGAGGCTCAGGGATAGTGCCCAGGCCTAGAGTTTACCCCAGGACTGGCAAAAAAATAAAAGCCATTTCAACCATTTCTAAGTGTACAGTTGGCTTGAAATACATTTATCATGCTATGCACCCTTCAGCACTTCCCCTTCTAGAACTTTCTCATAAGGATTTCAGAGCTAATAGCTGGTCTGGAAAGTGATCATAGAGAACAGAGTAGGGGTAGGGAAATGGCAAGGGGAAGGACTCAATGGAGAATACCAGTTCAGAGTTATCCCACAGGAGGAGCAAAAAAGCTACCATCAGTTACTGGCCTATGGAACTGAGGCACTTGAAATTTGGCTTCCAAGGAAAACCTCAGGCCATTGGAAGTTGGACTCTGTCCTATAGGCTGAGGCCTAAGGGCATCAGCGCGTCTGCAAAAGAGAAGCCATCAATTATGATATTACTTACTCAGTAACTCTGTAAGCCTTGATTATGTATTTACCCAGAAGCTTGTAATGACCTGCTCTGTTGGTTTTTTACACAAACATCTTAAAGGGTCTCAGAGATGCTGCATATATGCTTATGGGGCAGGAGTAGGAACTGGGGTGGGGTTCAGTGAATGAATTAGAAGTCACCAGGTGGGAGGAAAAAACTAAGAGAGAGCAAGAGACGGGCTTACATTATCCAAAAAGAAATGTACTCTTTACTTGACTTATGTAATTGCAACCCCTCTGTAGATCACCTTTATAATAACAATAAAAATTTTAAAAAGAAGTCACAGGGTGAGGGCCACTGCAGCTTCTTTTAAAACAAATCTGTTTTCTATGTTGAGCTTCTGTGGTTACTAGAGGAAGGAATTCTGCTCCACCAGACCCAAAAAGTGTTAGAAAAACCAATAACAAATGTCATATTGATCTAGAGGAACATTAAGATTGATGATTGGCATTTCTGCCTGAAAGACTTTTCTAAGAATGTAGTCCACTGTAAACACAGGGGCTAAGTCTGAATGTGGGGATCTTTAAAGATAGGTTAGAACACCAAGGAGTGAACACTGAACCTCTGCTCATAACTTGCCAGATTGTCTTTAGCAAACCCAGAGAGGGGTTGGCTCTCAATAGGCTGGTGCAGGGCAGAAATGGTACAAGAAATAAGCAAAGGGCCAGGGTACCTGTGGCTGGTGGGACACCAGGGCCCCATAGAAAAGACAATCAATATTTATGTTCTGGGTGTGTCCTGTGTATCGAGCTGGGGCCATTCTTTTAATCCCTGTGTGCTTCAGTTTCCTCACTGGATGATACCTGACTTACCAATTGACTGGAAAAAATGTTGTGAAGCTTCAAAGGGGAAAAATAATGCAAATAAACGTACCTTAGGAAAGTACTGATCAGTATGATCCTGGAAATCATTCCTCCAGTTGAGGCTTCGCTTAAAAAAAATTAGACTGACTCTACTGGATTTTTAAAAAACTCTTCCCACCCTTACTTTTTCGTTAGTGTTCTACAAGAAAACTAGAGAACTGGATGAGGATGGGCAATCCCACTTTGAAGTTAGTCAAACAGGAATGTCCCTTACACAGAGGTGATTTTTCTTTTTTTCTTTTTCTTTTTTCTTTTTGGCCAATATTGGGGCTTGAACTCAGGGTGTGGGCACTATCCTTTAGCTCTTTTGCTCAAAGCTGGCACTTTACCACTTAAGCTTCAGCACTATTTTCTACTTTTTGGTGGTTAATTGGAGAGACTTTCTTGCCTATGTTGGCTTTGAAGGAAGATTCTCAGAGCTCAGCCTGCTGTGTAGCTAGGATGACAGGCATGAGCCACTGGAGCCCAGATTTGTTTTTTGAGACTGTGTCTTACTATGTAGCTCAAGTTGGCTATGAACTTACTTGCTATTCTCCTGTCTTAACTTCCCAAATGCTAAGATTCCAGGCATGGGCCACCGCAGCCTTCTAATAAAAGATAAATTTTTAAAAAGGTAGGTCAAACCACATATATGGTATATAACTGTGTGTGCAATGGAAGGAAGCTAGGAGGACACAGAATCAGTGAGAAACGGAAAACACACAACAAAGGAGCCCATCAGCTGCACTGGACATAGATGAAAATGAGCTAAGCAACCCAAAGACAGCGATGGGAAGGGAGGAATGAGAGGGAAAGAGGGAATAGCCTACACTAAGCAAAAGGAAAGAAATGTAAATATCACCTGATGTGGAAGAAATAATTGTATTGTCAAAGCTTATAGAATTCACAAACTTTATAGACCATGATAACGACAATTTGCCTTGTAAAGGTTAAAATGTATTTGTGACTTTCACTAAGTATCACTATCCCACAGTGCTGTGAAATATATGAAAGTTATGTAATCACCTAATCTCAATTAAAAAGAAAAAAGAAAAAAAAGTGAGAGAAGGGATGGATTAGGAGCAATGGGTGACAATGTTGTCAGACACTTCTTTGTACAACTACTTAAAGATAATAAAAAGTTTTTTAAAGGTAGGTCAAAGCTGAGAAGTGGAAAAGAAAGAATGAAATAGTGGCCTCTGAGATCCTAGGGCTTGGCCCAGTGGTCTATGCCTAGGAGCCTCAGTACTTGGGAGATGCGTCCATTGTACCATGTAATCTAGGGAGTGGGTATATGCAAAAGACTCCACAATATATAAAAAGGGCATGCTCCAATGCCAGTCTCTAGAATGTGAAAGACTTGGGGCTAACAAATAATGACCCACCCTTTCAGTGTTCTACATACAGTAGTTCTTAAGTGGCTCAATCTTCCCAATCCTGCTTTCTATTGTTCTTACTCATTCTTGGCAGACCTCTGGCTTTGGCAATCAGAGCCACCTCCACCATGGGCCTTCTGAACTTCCTGCCACATATACACATACAAGTCACAGTCCCCTGGATGAATATAGGCGGAGAAGGAAGTGGTACTGAGGAGGAAGTGGTACTGGGAAGATAAACTCACAGTCCCAACGCTTTCTCCTCTTCCACTCTTGCTTTCATAGCTCCCAGAGACCCTGCTATGGGTCAGGGCAGATCACCTGCCTTCCAGTGAGGTGTGAGGCAGTTTGGTGATGCACCAGGCATTTCACACTGTCCAGAAGCCCATTGTTTCTGTTTTGAGAATCAAATACAAACCACTAGCAGGGATTAGCCCATGAAGAGGTCAAGCCAGTACTTTTCTGCACAGAGTAGTAGACTGTCTTCACTAATAATCAGCCTCAGAAGTCACTACATCTTTCCCAGGCTTGATGGGCCTCCTTCATGAACTTCTTGTTACTGTCGTCAATGTGGGCTGCTCACCCCATGCTATTCCAGACATCCTCTGCCATGGATTAAAGGTAGTGGGAAGCTGAGGAGGGGAAAGCTTAGATTCTTAAGCCAGGGTTCAGATCCCAGTTCTGTCATGTCCAGCTGTATGATAGGGATGTGACTTGGCTTCTCTTAGTCTTATTCTCTATAGAAATGATGATAATAGCATCCATTTCTTGGGTGTTATGGAGATCCAATGAGCTGAAAATATGAAAGGTCTTAGGATGAGCCTGGTGCACAGGATGGCTTGCTATTACCTGCTACTGAGGATACAAATAACCCCCTCCTTAGATAGAACTACTTCAGAAAGCTGGGTACTAGTTACTATAGTCCTAGCTACTAAGGAGGCTGAGATCTGAGGATCACGGTTCAAAGCCAACCTGGGCAGGAAAGTCTGTGAGACTCTTATCTCCAATAAATCACCAGGAAAGCGAAAGTGGGGCTGTGGCCCAAGTGGTAGAGCGCTTGCCTTGAGCTGAAGAGCTGAGGGACAGTGCCCAGACCCAGAGTTCAAGTCCCATGACCAAAAAAAAAAAAAAAAGGAAAATAAGAACTACTTCAGAGAAGTTGACTGCAACTAAATACCTACTAAGTGGCAGGGCTGGGAAAGCCCAAAACTCTTATGGCATGTTTTGATGCACAAGTGGCTATCTCTGTCTTTAGAAAAAGAAAGTGTACTGGTAGTGTGGCTTGAACTCTACAATTCATGTTCATGCTTAAGCTTTTCTTCTACTCAAGGCTTGTGTTCTATCACTTGCCACAGCTCCACTTCTGGGGTTTTGGTGGTTAATTGGAGATAAGAGTATCATGGGCTTCTTTGGCCAGATTGGCTTCAAACTGTGATCCTCAGATCTTAGCCTCCTGAATAGGTAGGATTATAGCTGTGAGCTACCAGTGCCCAGCTCTTCCCTTTTCTTCCCTTTGCCATTTTTCCCCTCTGTCTTCCAGTATGGCCAAACCTGATTTGGGTCTTTTTAGTGCTCCAGTAGGAGAACGACTCAGGGTCTTCCCTGTCTTTCAGGTGCCTTCCAGGCTCAGGTGTGGGGAGGCCGGTGAGATGGAACACCTGAGCAATGTGACAGATGAATAGTCCACTATCTGGGAGCTTATCCCTCTTTCCTTCGATTCCAGACTTGGAGATTACAGTCCCGATCCGGCATTCCCAACACCTGCCTGGGAAAGTGGAGTTTGGTGTCTATGAGAGCGGCCCCAGGAAAAGCGTCTTCCCCGCAATGACGGAGCTGAGACGCGGTGACTGGAAAACAGACAGCACCTCCAGTACAGCCAGTAAGCAGCAAGCCAGAGGCTCACCGTGAGAAACATTGTGTTGAGCCAAAAGATCTCAACTGAGTCATGACTTTCTGTTTGTTTGGTTGATTGGTTTTGCTTTTTTTTTTTTTTTATTTTGTACCAATCTTGGGGTGTGAACTCAGGGTGCTGTCCCTGAGCTCTTTTTGCTCAAGGATTGCACTCTACCACTTTGAGCCACTTTGCTACTTCTGGTTTTCTGGTGGTTAATTGGAGCTAGTGTCTCACAGACTTCCCTGCCCCGGCTGGTTTTGAACCTGGATCCTCAAATCTCAGCTTCCTGAGTAGCTAGGATTACAGGTGTGAGCCATTAGCACCTGGCTAGTAATTTGGTTTTAAGAGGTATAAGATAGGGGAGAATAGTTAGCCTGTGAGGGTTGTTTTTATTCCTGGAAACCTGGTTGCAGACTATTTACTACTATATCCTTTTTATACATAGCAAACTCAAATAATAATAGTTAATCTATTTACTAGCTGTAATGCGACTTCATAGATTACCTAATTCCCACAAAACCTCTACAAGGTGGATTCTTTGACCTCTGTTTGCTGAGGAGAAAGCTTGGAGGCTTAGCTGATGCAGTTGAGTGGGGATGCAAACTCAGTCTGGATCCAGAGCCAGGACTAGTTACCCCTGTTCTTGCTGTTACTTCAGCTGTGCTAAGGAGAAGGCAAGGGCACAAAGTCAGAAGCTCTAGACAACAGTGGATTCAAATTTGAGCATTGCAACTTCGCAGGCAGTTCAGGATCTAATTAGGAAATGTCTTCCTTTCTACTTGAAATCTTGAATAGGAGTCTGATTGCGGCGGATAATGCCACTGATGTTCCGGCTGCTGCGGGCGGCTTTGTTTCCATATCCAGGGCTGTGTTAGCTGACTCCAGATACACTGGCTTCCCAAGTCCAGCAGATTGAGTTTCTCTTCTTTCAGACAGTTCAGTGTTACCCAGACAGCTGGAAAAATAATGTGAAAGAGACAGAGAAATGCTGAAGTTTGGGACTCATGTCCTCTTAAAAATCAGACAGAGAATCCCCCAGTGAATGTTGAAGCAGGAAGGTCATTTATCCAACCCTGCTTCTTAACCTTTTCTACAACACAACTTCCTCAAGAATGCAATAAATGATAAATGTCTGCATCTGTTTCCCGGAAAAGTGCACATCTGTGCATTCATGTGCTTGTGCATTCATGTGCTTGTTCATGAGCATGCATGTGCACATATATACATAGACATACACACACACAATTTGAACCATTCTTTTTTTTTTTTTTTGCTGGTCATGGGGCCTGAACTCTGAGTCTGGGCGCTGTCCCTCAGCTCTTCAGCTCAAGGCTAGTGCTCTACCACTTGAGCCACAGCGCCACTTCTGGCTTTTTCTGTTTATGTGGTGCTGAGGAATCGAACGCAGGGCCTCATGCTTGCAAGGCATGCACTCTACCTCTGAGCCACCTTCCCAGCCCCAATTTGGACCATTCTTGGACAAGAATATCAAATTATTTTTTCCTTGTACTACAAATGGATTATTTGTAACCCCAAAAGGGAATTAATTTTACTAGAGGTCACACAGACATTGGCAAAGGTGGAAGTAGAACTCAGTTCTCTGTCTGTCTCTCTCTCTCTGGATTGCGTTGAGCTATGGTTTTTTTTGTGTGTGTGTGGCATTTTGGTGATTAACTAGAGATAAGAGTCTCAGGGACTTTGCTGCTTGGGGTGTCTTTGAATTACAATCCTCAAATCTCAGCTTCCTGAGTAGTTAGGCTTACAGACATGATCCACTGGTGCCTGGCCCAGTATGTCCTTTTGAATTTGTGCTTTGCATTTTGTTTATGCAGTACCCAGAGCCTTGCATGTTCCAGGCAAATGCTCTACCACTGAGTTAGGTCTGCCCACAGCCCTGCATTTTGTCTTACATCATTGTCTCACCCTTTCTTTATGTGGTGTATCTAAGTCCAATATGGTGGTGCAGCCCTGTAATCCAGCACTCAGAATACTGAGGTAAAGGATATCTACTGCCATGCCAGCCTACGCAACACACTATGATGCTGTGTCTTAAAGGGTGTGGGAGGGAGGGAGAATGTCTGAATGTGGGATGCATGTATATTTCCTGTTTTCCCTAAATAAACAAAAGATTGTGGCAACAAAATTAGCCTGTAGATTCCAGAAATACTACTGCACAACTGAGACTCCAAACACCTCTGTCAAATCGAAGCACTAGTATCAAGTAGGATTTTCAAAAGGATTAAATGGCAGTCGTATTTTTGAAGCACTTAACACATGGTAAGCCCTCGGTAAATGATAGATATTAAGCCATAGTGATTATCACAAAATGAAGCATTTCATGTAATACTGGAAAGAAAAACTGAACTCTAATAAAATGGCTTAAGACGGCCACCTTAAAAACATCTTGTATTCACTGTTTATATACTGTTTAATCAGTAAAAGTATGTTTGAGCTAGAGTTCTGCATTTCACTTTCTCCTGGGAGAATCTACAGTCCATCTGATATTATTTTTTACCCTTAGGCAGCACAAGTAACCGATCAAGCACACGGAGCCTCCTCAGCGTGAGCAGTGGAATGGAGGGTGACAATGAGGTGAGAGTCATCCCTTCTGTCCCAGGGTCATTTCCTTGTGAGAGCTAGGAATCCAGGGGAAAGAAGGCCATTTATACAGAATAACTAGATTGGACACATCCAGAGAGACACAATGCAGGTGGGTGGTTGCTTGATGAGGCTTGGGTGAGGAAAATGTTTTGAGAACAGATAGAGGCGATTGTGGCACAAGGTTGTGCACTCAATGTCACAGAATTGGTCCTGAGTTCACTTTGGAGTGGTTGATTTTATGGAATGCGAATTTGCTCAATATGAAAGAAAGAACAAAAAGAGAATGACAGAGAGGAGAGAAGAAGAAAGGAGAGGAAAGGAAGGAGAATGGAGGAGCAAGAGAGGAGGAAGGAGGAGGGAAAGAAGGAAGGGAGGGAGGGAGGGAGGGAGGGAGGGATTCATTCATATTACTTAAGCCAAAAAAACCTTTCTGGGGGAAGGAGCTGTGAGTCCCAGGGAAGCTTGGGGCTGGATTGTGGGACCGTGCTGGGATCTACAATAGAGCTGTAACACATGCCAGAAGGAGTCGAGGTCATTGTTCCTTAAATGCCAAGGTGAAGTGCTCCTTTGTCTCTACCTCTTAGTGCACATTTGTTTTTTCATTCCTCACTCCCTGTACTCTGGGCTATTCTGCTTCTCCACATGGCTCGTGATACTGTCTCCAGAGAGCCACGAGGCCACTGAGCAGAGAGGAGGTTGTTATTTTGGGATGGGACTTACTCCAAGCTGGCCCAGTTTGGGTCAGCATCTACCTCAATCTGGTGACTAGTGGCTGGAATGAGCAGGAAAGGCTCCCTTCAAACCCCAATGACTATGAGCGAAGGCCTTAGGGCGAGCATTTGTAGCAAGCTCACAGGGGATGGAGTATTGAAAGACCAGAGACCACACATTTGGAACAGCAAGGATTGAGAGTTCAGGCAATTCATGATTATTTGCACCAACTTGTCTTTCTCAGTGAGCCCAGCGGGTGAGTGGTTCTAGGCTCTAGGCTGGTGGCCAGTTTACAAACACACCCTGCAACTAAAGCCTGGTCCCGGGATGTGGGTGTCCCTTTGTGCTGGTTCACTGTAATTTTCCCCTTTCTTTCTCATCCTGTTTTCTGTAGGATAATGAAGTCCCAGAAGTCACCAGAAGTCGGAGTCCAGGTCCCTTACAAGTGGATGGGCCCCACACTGTGCCCCTGGAGAGACCCCCCAGAGTGCCTCCTCGAGCCGCCTCACAGAGGTAACATTGAAGCTGATGTGAAATTTTCATCACTCTCTGAATTCCAGGGTGGAGCAGGATTCAGAGACATCTCAGGAAAAATGAGGACAGAGCTAATGACAATGCTTGCATTTGACATATTTTCAGTCTGGGCTCTTCATTAACTTCAGTGATGTGTTATTCAGTTGTAAATCTTTTAAATGGCAAATCCATTTGTTTCGTACATGAAATACATGGATAAATATCAACTTACAAGTAATTTTTATAAGTGTGGCTAGGATCAGCTCCCTAATACTGAATTCTTTAGGCTGTATTGTAGGGACAAGACTTTTTAAGAACAAGAGATAAGAAGGAATTGAAAAGTTGGGCACTGATAATTCATGCTGTAGTCCTAGCTATTCAGAAAGCCAAGACCTAGAGGATTGTAATTCTGCCCAGCCAGCCTGGGCAGAAAATTCTGCAAGTCTCCATCTCCAAAGATAAGAGTTGTCATGTTTGAAGCTATAGTAGGATTTTGTTAATGGAAGAGAAAGAGAAGGCTCAGAAAAATGGGTTGCAGAATTAAAGGACAGAAACTAGAATACATTAAAGTGTGTTAGAAGAGATGGCAGATGAAGTATTTGGGGTGTCTGGAAGCATGTTGTGATAAAGATGAGGAGAGAAAAGAAATAAAATACATTTTGCTCCAGAAGCAATGCTTGCAGAGGAGGCTATAATTGACAGACCTTGGGGTCTGCATGCATCTTTTAGTGCCATAAAAGATTTACAAGCATATCACTGTGGGGTGTGTGTGTGTGTGTGTGTGTGTGTGTGTGTGTGTGTGTGTGTGTATGCCTGTATATGTAATCTTTGAACTGGGAATGAAGTGAGACCTTCTCCTGAATAGCATGAGTAGTTGACCTGCTGACAAACAGGAGGAAGCTGACCATGGAGTCTCAAATGCTCTCTCCTCTGTTTAGCTGCACTGTAGAGTGCAGCCTTGGTCATACTCATCACACTGTCTCTGGTCTGATCCATTCCTCTCTTCACTCTATATGCTATCCTCAGAGCCAAAATCGCCACGAGCAGATAGCTGCCTTCATATTCACCTCTGCCTTCCATTTCCTGCTGTTGAGGAGATTGTCATCCAGATGTCCCACTGGGGCACAGCTTTTACAAGACTGAGCTCACTGGGCTACCACTATTCTCTTCTTTAAACCACCTCCTTCTCATGAGTTTTCAGCCCACTTTCCAAGGCCAGGAGTCTACTCGTCTCCCACCTCCCTTGCATCTCGAGTACATCTCCAGGCTCTGTCCTTTCTGCTACCCTTTCAGCTCTCAGATCTACCTCCTCCATCCCATCTGCCAGAACCTCAGTTCTTTGGAGTCCCACACTTGATTCCCTGCTTCCAGCAGTCCCTCTTCCCCGTGCACCAGAGTGCACTGCTGATGTTATTTCCCTACATAGAACCGTCCATTTTAATTCTGTGCATTCTAGCGTGCTCTGGCTCTGCCCAGAGTCAAGTCCTATGTTCATCTATGCTCCACCCCATAGATGAACTGTATTACGTGTACCATTTCTTTCTCCTATCTGTTCCTTTTGTTTGGAATGCTGTCTTTCTATTCTTAGCCTATTGTAGATATTTTATACATCTTTTAGGTCTCAGTCCCAGCACCATTTCCTTTGTGGGGCCTTCCCTGATTTTCTATACAGAGTGTATCTTCTCTACTTTTGTTCCCCCAAGTATCCCTATTCTAATACATTCCATTTTGCAAACCTTACTTACATATCTATCTCCTCAACTGGATACTGAATCTCATGAGAATAGAAATTACTTTTATTTTTTTTCTCCTTTCCCAGTGCCTAACACAGGAACTGGTACATATTAGGGATGTAATAAATATTTGTCATGTAAATGGATAGACGAAGAATGGATTGGTACTGCTTAGGTTGGACTTTCTAAGTTCTTAACAACTTGCTATCAGTTCACATCCCATAGCTGGCTTATAAATAGTGAGACTTCACACTCCCACCCGCTGTGAGTTTCTAATGTACTGAGCAGAAGAAACAAAGCAAAGGGAAGAAGATGAGAATAGGACAGATGTGCAGGAGCTTTGCATGACAGTTCTCTTACTCCTTAGGGCAGACAGCTCTGTATAGGTAATGTCCTATGGGCAGACAGCTCTGTGTAGGTAATGTTCTATGGGCAGACAGCTCTGTGTAGGTAATGTTCTATCACAGCTAAGAGGAAAAAGCCAAGTGTTTACAGAGCCATTGCCTCTTTGTTTTGAACTTATTTTTCATTTCCTTGTGACTGATCATAGCTAACAATTTGAGGACTCCTGTGCCAAGCAAGGATGCTCAATAGGAAACCATGCTTGCTTTCGGGGGCCTCTTGCAGTACCCAGAGATAGTCCTTCAGTTCCTGATTTAGAAAGGTCTGTGGAGTTCCTAGGAAGAGCTGGAGTGCTCAAGGAGCAAGTGGACTTGAGACAGAGCTATTGATTAACAAACATGGAAATTTAAACTAGGGTAAGCAATGTGTATGCCCACACAAAGGCATGCCAGCTAAAGTCCCACTTCAAAAGGAGTGTTAACCAACAAGATTGCTGGATTCTTGAACCACACTCACCATATGAGACTTCATCCTGAACAGGGAGAGAAAGCATCCAGGGCCTAGGTGTCTCTGTATAATTGTTTTCGGATTTAGCTCTCCCCAGTTTATCCCTCAATTCAGATTTAGTGCCTTTTTACCTCTCTGGTTCTGATACATCTATAATCATATACCCATTTTCCTGAGATGGGGCTTCTAGTCCCTTGCTTGCTACAGTTGCTCCTGAGAATAAAATAGAATTAGCATTCTTAAAGGAGTATCCCAACATCAGAATGTAAAAGCAGGATGGTGGGCGGGGTGGGGGTGGGGGATGGGATGGAATCACCACTGTCCTAGAGGGGGAGATAAACTGTAAGGCTCAGGAATCCTCATACTGGGATTATTGGCTTTACTTCATAAGTGCCTACTCTAAGCCAGAAACTGTGCTATCTACTTCCCAATATCTATCTGACGTGAGAAAATAGTTTTAGAGAAGTTGGAATTCAGGGCTGGGAAGGTGGCTCTGTGGTAGAGCGCTTGCCTTGCATGCATGAGGCTCTGGGTTCGATTCCTCAGTACCACATAAGCAGAAAAAGCCAGAAATGGAGCTGTGGCTCAAGTGGTAGAGCGCTAGCCTTGAGCTGAAGAGCTGAGGGACAGCATCCAGGCCCAGAGTTCAGGCCCCATGACTGGTAAAAAAAAAAAAGAGAGTTCAAGGCTTTGTCCAGACAAAGTTACTGAGATTTTATCTCAGAAAACAAAATAAAAGCAAAAAGGCTGGGGTTGTAGCTCAGCTCTTGTAGATCTGAGAGTAGAGCTCTTGCCTAGCAAGCAAGATGCTTGGGTTCAATCCCAATACTAGGGGGAAGAAATCTCTGCTAGGTATACCCAGAGTTTTTTATCAAAACATTTAGGACGGTTTCCTGGTTTGGGCCTTTTGTCTTATGCACATATTTACAGCATTTTGAGGCCAGATTAATGTCTGTGAACTTGCTGTTATATCCACTGCAGGAATAGATTAATAGTAAACAACTGTTTAAGATGAAGAACATGTTGCTAAACTCCATGAGGCAATGATGAGTAGTATCATCCAATTGTCCTATAGCTTTCTCCTATAACCCCACAGGAAGGCTGAGAGGAGATGGAAAAAAATCTTTTTGTTTTCAATGAATAAATCTTAATTGCTCAGTGACAAATACACAAAACGGTCTACTCTTTGGGACAGAGTAGGACCTCCTGAAGATGTAGGTGGCCCTTTGTTACTTCTGCCTTCGTCTCTTGTTCTGAGATGCCCCCTCTTTTCCCAGCTCTGCCATCAGTTCCTTGACCTATGCAAAGCTAGTATTCAAGAGACATTTAGTAAATATTTACTTACTGATTTATTCAATCCTCCATTATACAACTTCAGGACTGCAAAGATCAATTACAACACCTGACAAAGCTTTCTTCCTGGACTTACTGACTTGCTTCTAAAAGAATTAAATATTGGCTTTACAGCACACATGTGGCAATGCCATCTGTAACCATTGAACCTATTGGTAATTAGACTCGCCCATTCTAGGAGTGTCATTTAGGGCTTTGAAGAAACATGGTGAGGGGCTTCTAAGAAAGCAAACATGGGGGGGAGGATTCAGTGGGGGGGCGGTGGGAGGCTGGGAAGGGGAAACAAAGGAGGAGACTACAATGCTTGATAAGAAATGTACTCATCTTGCCCATGTAATTGTAACCCCTCTGTACAGTATTTTCACAATAAAAAAGCCAAAAAAATGTACTTATTAACTTGCTTATGTAACTGCAACCCCTCTGTACATCACCTTGACAATAAAAAATATAAAATTTAAAAAAAAGAAAGCAAACATAGAGTTGGAATAGCACATAGTGATCCCATAAGAAGAAGGTTTTGGAAATTCTCGATTCCCCTTCCAACATCTCTCCCTACCACAGTGGGTCTCCTGCCTGGCTGCCTATTAGAATCACTGGTGTTTTAACATCTAGGTTTTATCATATTTATTGGGATAATTTGTTACATTCATGGTACCTGACAGCACAGGCATGCTGCCCTATGGGGGTTCATACTAGGAAGCACAAGGAGGCAGAGGGAGCAAAGGAAAATATGGGCTAGAGCTTTTATTGTTTTCTCTGTGGGTGCATATGGGGTGAATGAGGCAGGACAAAAAGATTAGGATTGGCTATCTTGAATAATTTGGGTGAGCTCTGGGGCAATGGGGCTGTCCCTGACCCTGGCTGGTACCTGACCTTAGACCCCCAAAAGTAGTTGGGTCATTAGCTAACCCTGGGAGGGGCAAGGCCTAGGCATCAGAAAATAAAAGGAATGATTAATACAAGAGCTTGAGGGAGAGACATTATTAAAAAGGTAGTTTATTTATGTGCTAGTGCTAGTGCTTGAACTCAGCCCTAGGCTCCTCTGTCCCTTAGCTTTTTTGCTCAAGGCTGATATGCTTACTACTTGAGCACATCACCAATTCCAGCTTTTTACTGGCTAATTGGAGATCAGAGTATTGCAGTTTGAAGGCAAACTGATGTAAGGGAACTCAAAATTCATGATATCTTTAAGATTCTACATTCTCCACACAAACAGATAATGATACTTAAACATACCATAAAATTAGATAAGACTATTGCTTGCTTGAGCTGGCTTCACACCATGATGCTCAGATCTCATTCTCCTGAATACTGGGATTATAGGCATGACATACCAGTGCCCTGCTTAGAAAGTTTTGACTGTTGAGCTGTATCCTCTAGTATTAAGATGGAACATATGATGGGAATTGGAATTTTTAAAAACTGCATTGGTGATTGTAATATGCAGCCAGGGTTCTGAGGCACAGCTAGCATGTACGTCACTCACAGTCATAGTACATTCTGTTTCATGAGCTGAGGAATGTGTCCTTTACAAGAACTATTTAATAAAGTTGCTTTATCTTTTCATTGTAGGCCTCCAGCCAGGGAGACCTTCCATCCTCCTCCACCTGTTCCACCCAGAGGTCGCTGAGTTTACTTCCTAGACTCATCCAACTTCAGAACTTTAAGACTGGCAGTTCTCAGACTGTTAATGTTGTCTTCATGTTGAATTTTCTGCATGAACATTGACTTGGAGATCTACTCTCATTGCTAATATTATTGCAGCCCTGCTGGTTTGGGTGATTTCTCGAAGAAGACATTATTAAGGCAGGAAGTAAAAAACTAAGAACCATGTTCACCATTGCCAAGTATATTGGTCCACATCACATGTTCATTACCAAAAGGGTGGAGACTTGATCAGGATACATACCTCTAATTTCTCTTAATAGAAGCCTAACAAGATTAATTAGAAATGTTCTTTACAAGTGATTATACTGCAGTATACTTACATTCACCATTCTGTATTTGATAATCCATCCTAATTCCTAAAAGTGACTATAAAACTAAAGTACTGGAGTACAAGTGACCTAATTTTAAAATAATTTTACATTTTTGTAGAATTATTTTAGTTTTGTAGAATTATTTTGTGAATTATTTCTGGTTACAAACCACAAACTGAAAAGGACTTAGACAGACTTTTTTTTTTTTTCTGGTAGTAGGGCCTGGACTCTGGGCCTGTGCGCTGTCCCACAGCTCTTCAGCTCAAGGCTAGTGCTCTACCACTTGAGCCACAGCGCCACTTCTGGCTTTTTCTGCTTATGTGGTGCTGAGGAATCAAACCCAGGGCCTCATGGCCTCATGCATGCAAGGCAAGCACTCTGCCACTGAGTCACCTTCCCAGTCCTGACTTAATTCCTCTTATATGGAAGGTAAATCTAGGATCCTGTAGATGTTTGGAACCAAGAGTACTTGGTTAGAGGAAGAAGAGGTGGGTCTAGAATCTGAGCCTACTGTCATCACACTTTCCTTATCTAAGAACCAATATTTTTTTCTCTCAAGAAATGTCCCAGTGTTAAAATTTATTAGTAGCTAGCTATTGGGCTTCTAGAACCTACCTTCATCTATATCTTTGAGGCATTAGGTATCAACTATTTATTTTCAGTTTGGACATTTATATTCCAGTCTGCTTTCAAATGAGTAATGTTGCCAGAGAAATGCTGAACGTGGTTAGAACCAGATGCTTGGGGTGCTAAGGACCTATATCTTGTTCTCTGTTGCCTTTAGATCTTAGATAAGAGAGAGGAGGATCCTTGGCTTTTCCTTTGCTGAAAGGTCTTCAGAGGAAGAAAGAACCTAAAATAGATATTAGTATCTGTTTTCTTAGAGTTTTATTACCAACAGATTTGGTAAATCTGTGCAGAGAATGTAGAATCTTAATATCATGAATTTTGAGTTCCCATTACATCAGTTTGCCTTCAAACTACAGATCCCTAATGATACTTAAACATAAAATTAGTAGCATACAATGTCTTTTAAAAAATATTAGAAATATAGTTGTCCCCCATGAAATCATCCTCTGACCTCAAACAAGTATACAAAAACCATGTTATACATGATACATTTAAGTTTAATTTCATTGGGTTCTAATAATTAAAGTATTTTTATCTCAATTTTCAGTTCAGCAAGGATTATTGCTAAAGTGAACTTCTCCTAAAGGAGTCTTGGGTTGTTGTTTAATGCAAATTAGTCTGTTGGCCATATCTATCATATTAGAATGTTGTCACAAATTATCTCATTCAAGGCCAGTCATGTGATAGTTGTTCTTTAAGTGTGCATTTAATAGTTCCTTTACTATCTTTGTCACTTATCTGGAAGAAATGGAAGAATGTGAGATAAAATAAGAATATGAAATTGGTGTAGATATTTTTATTTATAGATTGTCTCCATCTTAAGAATATTTAGTTTTGATTAAAAAAGGTACTTTTTCTATTCAGTACCTCTAAACCCTTCTTTGGATGCCAAATTGATGTTTTTGTACATTCTCAATGTACATGATCAATAAACATGGTAAGACCAATACTAGCCAATGGTGTTAGTAACTTTGTATGCACATCACTATGCACTATTTGAATATTTTATTGCATTTATTCTTATAATAAGTGGAAAAATAAAATTGAAAGTGCTTATGACAGTGTGGGTGCCGCTTGAGACATGGATGTAATTGATCAGGAGTGCCAAGTCAAAGGTAGCAAGTCTTATGTCCCAAGATGGTGCTCATTGAACATCCACATTGGCAGGTTATGAATAAAAGAAGAAATAGAAGGAATGTGAATGAGTCACTTTTTCCAGTGCTATCAGAGAATTTCCACTTTGTTCCATAGAAAGAGAACACCCACTATAACATATATTTATTCGATTTCTACATATTCAACACATTAGTACACATTTTATGAACAACCATAGATTCTCAATAGAATAAGAATCAGAAACTAAGTAGGCATCTAAAGAGAAGGTTACAAAGTCTTCTCTATGAAACTTCAGGTGACAGCTCTTTTACTACCTTTCTTCTCCCAGATTTTACAAGCTAGCTCAAGAGAAAGTGAAGCAATTGGTTATAATCATGACACTAACTACAGAAGGTAAATTGGCCTCCAATTCCTAGGCCAGCACTGTACTTTTATCTTTATATTAAAACATAGGAGCAGATACCCCAACTATATAAGCAACAAAATATGAAGTTTTGAGAGACTCTCAACAAGAGGTTGGTGTTGCAATCAGATAATTGAACACATGTTTAATGATGTAGTCACTCATGCTGTGCCATAATTATAGAAAATGACAGCACATACCTGACTTTAATGGTTTTTTAAACAAATATTCTTCCATTCCCTGTTTATTGAGAGAGAGAGAGAGAGAGAGAGAGAGAGAGAGAGAGAGAGAGAGAGAGAGTAGAAGGTTCTAGTCAACCTAATGCCACCTTAGTAGATGAGATTTTTCAATCTCTCTCCCACAGGCCCCAGTTTTCTCTGCTTCTCCTTCAAAGAATAGTATACATGTCCCAGCTACTGGGAAGAAGCAGCTTTAGTAACAGCTTTACTTCTGAGAGAGACAAGTGGCTAATTTGGATAATCTTAAAAGATTCATCCTAAATATCAATCCTTATTTGGGAAAAATCTGCCTATATAAATATTTGCTGCCATTTGATAAATAGTGTCTGTTTACATCCATAAAGATTAGTAAGAATATCCTGCTGGCCAGATTCTATGATTATCAGAGTTTTGAAAAGATGAGTAGGATGCTGAAAGATGTTCAAAGGAACATCTTTCCTAGATAAATTCCTAGGCCTATCAAAGCTCATCTAACCCACAGTATAAGTGAAAGTGCTTTGCCAGGTATGATTCATGCCTGTAATCCTAGCTACTCCAAAGATTGAGATCTGAGGATCAAGGTTCAAAGCTAGCCTGTGTAGTAAAGATCATGAGACTCTTAGCTCCAATTAACTAGCAAAAAGCCAGAATTGGAGCTATGGCTCAAGTAGTAGAGTGTTAGCCTTTAGCAGAAAAGCTTAAGGACAGTACCAAGCCCCTGAGTCCAAGCCCCAGGACTGGCACTGTCTCTTCCAATACCTACCCCAGGAAAAAAAGAAAGTGTTTCATCTGTCTACACAGTGAAAGTTAGCATGGTATAGGGAAGAGAGCATTGGTTTGGAAGTCAGGTTTCTATTTAGTCTGCTAATGAGGTCACATAACTTGACAACAGGGGTCTGTGCTTCACTACCTATGAAGGAGAGTTCTGTTTGGTAATCCCTGAGGGACCAGAATCCCTCATTCTGAAGTGGGGACACAGCTTCACTGGAGTTACTACCTGATTGACACCATTGTATTTATTTATTTACTTATTTTCAGTGCTGGGAAATCAGCTGGGGCTTAGTGCATTCTAGGCAAGTGCTCTATCATTCAGCCACCTCTAGCCAAGAATTGTTTTATAATTGTTCCCTGTTATTTATCATTATTATAATGTCAGTTAAACTCTGAGAGGCAGTAAAATACGAATGACACAAAGAAATTAATGACATTGTTCTTCAATAACCAGGCCCATATCCAGTTTTAAGTGTTGTTTTGTTGTTTTGGAGACAGGGTTTTGCTACACAGCTCAGAGTTATAGTCCTCCAGTCTCAGCCTCCTGAGTTCTAGGAATATAGATGTGTGGTACAAAATTCACTTAAGTGAATTTTCAGTTGGGAGCTAGTGGCTCACATCTGCAATCCTAGCTGCTTTGAGGCTGAGACCTAAGGATTGTGGTTTGAAGCCAGCCAACTGCGTGAAAATCCGTGAGACTCTTATCTCCAATAAACCACCCAGAAAAAGCCGGAAGTGGTGCTGTGGCTCAAGTGGTAGAGCACTAGTCTGGAACACAGAGAGACTCAGGGACAGCATCCAGGCCCTGACAACAACAAAAAAATTTCAGAGCAATCATACAGTTCTTTGGTGTCCAGACCATTTTTAGCCAGAACAGAACAGGTGATGGAGTGGCAAGTCACAATAGCCCCTCAACACCTCCTTGAAGCAACACAAGGTAGCAAAAAGAAATAGAATTTCAAATAAAAGGTAGCTGATGATAGAAACAAGAAGATAGGTTGTTATCCATATGTCAAGATTCTATGTTTATTCCGAATGATAAAAGATGGCCGAAATTTTGATTTGGATTGATTTATTGGTCATAAGTTCTTCAACCAACACTTGATAGCCTAATTCAAACTATCACAAGAAGAAGCTATATAGCCATTGGGAGAAGAGGGACTCTTTTTTCACTGGCAACCTCTCTCTCTCTCTCTCTCTTCCTCCCTCCCTCCCTCCCTTTTTTCCTCTCCCTCCCTCCATCTTCTCCCTCCTCCCCCCTCTCTGTTCTTTTTCTTTCCAGGGAATGAGGTCATTGGTAATGGTAAATGGTAAAAGGAATGGTAAAATAGGGTATATAAAGGTACTCTGCTCCCCAGTTGTGCAGAACCACCCTTGTTTCATAGCTTTGGGGTCATCAAAGATCCTCAAAGCAATTCCTTCACTGCTGCATCTTTCTTTTTATACCAGCTATTACCAGACATCGAATGCCATTTATCAGCATCATTTCTCTAGTACCTATCAGAGTTCCTGACACATCATAGGTGTTGAATTATGGCCCTTTCTTTATTAAACTTTCCCAAATACTCTGCTGAGTATCTTTTTTCTTTACTGACCATTGCTCTTATTCTCTGGGAACATTTGCATAGTTGTCCACATTTTGTGCACTCCTTTATAAAGTTTCCTAGTTTTAAGTCAACCTTCTGCCCATGAACTCTTTATACTTTTTCTTGTATCCTGTCTTCAAGCATTTGCCAGCCCAGTGCTCTCCACAGAACCTAGCAAAACCTTATGCCTCAGATCTGTGGAGGCTGGTGATGAATGTTTAAGAAGCTACTCATCCATCTTAATGCAGCACTTATACTTCAATTGCCCATCATCTCCTCTTTCAAAGGCAATGATTATTCATTCACAAAGCATTTACTGAGTTTCCACTATGAGCAAGTCACTGCATTAGGTACTCTGGAAGATACACAAAACTGAATGCTTCCTCTGATTTCTATGGCAATGATGTACAATTCATAGAGTAATTAATCATACATTGCCTTGTGATGTCTCTCAACACTATCTAGAATGCATCCTTTAAATTCTATGCTATTTGACTCTCGTTAATCTCTTCATTCATCCAGCAAATGGTTATGATGTGACAAGCATTATCCCAGTAGCTGGGACATGTAAAAAGATATGTTAAGTTCTTGTCATCAGAAAAGGTCAGACTGTAGTACAGAATAGGAAATAGGAGCAGATCAACAATTATGACATAACATGCCAATGCTATTGGCATCTCAAAGAAGGGCTGCTTGGCTTCCTACGGGCATTTTGTATGCAAGATCTCTTTGTTGAGGTGGCAATTTGGACAGGTTTGGGAAGACAAGAATCAAGTAGATAAGGTAAAGCAAGATATTTGGGAAATACATGAGTCAAGGTAGAGCACAGAGACTGGTGGGAGGTAAAGCTGGAGAAACTGAGGCCTGCGTAAAGTACATGTTAACAGGTTAAGAAAGTCGGCCTTTATCCTTTAGCAAGGAACTCCTCTCCTGATTATATATGCTCACTGTATATACATGCTTACTGTAAAAAAAAATCTAAACATTGATAGGTTTGTACGAAGTAGAAGTTAACTGCACTGGTATTTTGCATAGTAATCTTTAGGATTTCTACAGGCAAACTAGCATTACCATTCAAAAGGGATGCATTCTCTCTATATTTTTCATGTGAGCATCTCTTGGGTATCATTTCATGTCAGTGCATGTAGATCTATTTCATTTTCAAAATGGCTACATAGTTGGTAGTCCATTAACAGTATAAAGACTGATTATGGAATCAGGCTTCTTGGGTCTGGTCTTCCACCAAGCCACTTAACCTGTACTCTAGTTACCTCCTCTGTAATATGAACACACAAAAGGAGCTTGTTGCCTGGGGTTTTTGTGAGGAACAAGACAGTCAATACATGTGAAAGAGTTCAGAATAGTGGCTGGCAGATGAAAACCTGAGTGGTGATTCTATTTCTTTACTCATCATTCAAGAGTGTTTTAACCAAGAGTGGTATCTGTTTTCTTTTTAGAAAGCACTCTGGCACCTTTGGGGAGTGATAAAAACAGGAAAGATTGATATTCAGGACCTTGCTGGGGGACTGCGGTGATGTATGGTGAGATTGGCTGTTACTGGCAGAGGAAAGGAAAAAAAAAACTTCCTGGGGCTTTATTTTCTTGGTGGTTCTGGGGGTTGAACTCAGGGCCTCGTGTAGCATTGTCACGTGAGACATACCTGCAGCCTTCTTTCTGCACTGGTTCTTTTCGAGGTAGAGTCTCACTTTACACCCAGGTGGGTTTGAGGCTGCTATTCGACGTTGCTTTCCACAATCTCCAGGGATGCTCAGCACAGTGCCCATGTATTGATTGATATTGGAGTCTCACAAGCCTTTTTTTTTTTTTTTTTTTTTTTGCAGAGGCTAGCTTCAAACCACCCTATTTTCAAACCTCTCTCCCATCAGGCTTCAAGGAAAAGCTTGAGGCCACCCAGCCCAGGTTCAAGAACTATTTTTTTTTTTGAGACCAAATGCAAAAAAATCTGTGTGTCACTAATGGCTAGGAAGACAATCTCTACACCTTCCACATTTTTGGTTTGGGGTTGTATAGATGGGGTGCCCTGGGCAGCTTGCTTCCCAGTGTATCTATGGCTGAGAATACGAGGCCAACAAATAACACGTAGACAAATAAATGGACCAATCATTTCGGCCCAGTCCACAGTTTTGGACTGAGTACTCAGCGACTTAACTACGCTTCTCTAACTCGGCACGAGTTTCAGGCTCCCCCGTAACGATGGTGACGGAGGCAGCAATCCATTCACCGCCGTCCACGTAGGGAGAGAGGCTGGAGAGGCGGCGGGCCAGACACCAGCCCCATGCGGCTCCTGGGAGCGGAGGAGAGCGATGCGTACGGACCACAACACCTGCAGGCGGCCGCGACTCCGAGGTCCCGGCCTGGCCCCCGCGAGGAGCCTGAGGCCCAGGGGCCGCAGACCCCCGAAGCGCAGCCGGCGCGACAGCCGGCGCGCACACACCCGCCGTCGACCGGCGGCAGTTGCGGCTCGCGTCACCAGGCACTTCCGGCG